ATCAACCACTGTGGTGGGATGCTTTGTTAATTTTTTTAAAGGAGATAGTTCTCTCAGTTTACATTTTAAACCACTCAGGATCGTTTTCTGAGTTGATTGCTAACAGTTTAGATGTTCTGAAGTGAGTATGTATAATGTTTGTTCTATATTTTCACAAATGATATCTATGTAAAGAAATGTTTTAAACTGTATTATATAACTCTGAGTTGCACTATACAACCCCACCCAAAAAATAAAAAACAGAAAAAAGCATTTTCCCTGCAAGCATCGTACCTTTAGTCTCTGCCTGTTCTCTTGTTCAGATCCTGTCTATTCACGATGCAAAGAGTAGGCTAAATGCTGTATTTAAGGCCTCAGAATAACTGTGAGGCAACATCATTGATCTGCATAACAATGTGGGCTTTTGAGATTGTTACGGCTGGATACAAACAACTGCAAACATGCATCTGAAAAATGTTCGGAGGATCTGGAGGCGAAGGATGTAAATGCTAATGAAACTTGAAGTTTCATCTCCCTTCTGCGGATGTTTCAGGTTCAGAAAAAAGAAAAACATGTAATCAAATGGACACGAGGAGTCTGAAAAGAATTGGGGGGGCATGTTTGAAAAGGGCAGAGAATGAGTAGATACCAGCATTTGCAATTGAAATCCATGTAAAAATACAGAACGGCTGAGAGTTTTCAGACGGAAAAAACAGGCCGACCAACTCCAAAATTGACAGGTTTTCTTAGAACAAGTGCCATTTGAATACATTGTAGTCTTCATTTGTGTCTGCTACTCAGACTCAGTCTCCTGCATCCTGCTGTTTGAGTGCAAAAGATATGACTTTTCGCTTATTTGAAAATGACTGTCTAAACATCATAATGACTATTGAGAGTGGGGGAACAGATATCAATGCAAAATCCCACAGATTTTTGTGAGTGATTTTCTTCAGCGTATTATGATGAGAAGCACTGAGTCAAATAGCTGACCAGTTTATAAGGTTTTAGACATAAATTAAAAAAGGCAGGGCTGGCATTTGACATCTGACAACACCTTTAAACCTATTTTGGCCTAAAATCTCTGGAAGTGGTACAGTTCACCAACTTTACAATTTAAACGGATAACATATATTTTCATACATTTTAGGATGCGTTACATTACTGAATCTGCAGGTTTTATAATCCTGATAGCTTCAGAATACAGTACAGTAGATAATTATTATGTGAGTTTGTATTTCAACGATTACAGTTAAGGGGAAAAAATGCGAAAATGCGGTGAAAGACTGAGTTCCGGGAATGAAACACAGAGAAAAAACATTTTCATTAGCTGATTCTGCTAATCCTTGAGTCTTCCCAGTCATGTGACTTCCACCAGAATTTTGTTGCCCCTCTGGCTCATAGGCAAAATAAGCTGTGCACATTAGACCCTAGTTTACACTCTTTTTTAGTCTCTTTTTCTCCTCCTTTATCCAACACAAACAGACCCTTTTCTTACCTCTGTCATGTGGATAAGGTAGAATCTCAGCTCCTCCGAATAATCTGAAAGACAAAATAAAGAGGAGAATCTGTGACATATTTTTCCCAATTTTTCTTTGGAACCCATTTCACTTTTTCCCCTCCCTCATCAGCCCTGCTGATTTCAGATTACAATTCTGCCAAAAAAATAATTGTATTGATGGAAAACTTTTAATGTAGGTCAGCCTTATACACATCCTCCGATAACTCACAGAAGAAGCACTTTGGGAGACAGGCATATGCGCCTGGAGTCAAGATAAATGGCTTTGATGAGCTCTAAGTGTGTGAACACTCATTACTTGTGGTAATGTTTATGACTGTATCCTGCAGTACACAAATGTCAGTCTATGGATTTTTTGGTCCATAAATTCATCTCTAAACTGCATGTAAGTTGTTGTGCCACCTTAAGCATTGATTGCATCATATATTTATAGTGGTTTCATTTTGATAGGATTATTTATGCTTATTTTAAGAGTAGGAAATTTAGTTCTTAGCACAACCTAAAGATTCCCTAAAAGTCTGTGGTGGCCGGTCCAGGTGCGTCTCTTACTAGATTCCATACATTTTCCATTGTGACTAGTCGGTGCATCATCCTTCTATGGTCTTTGAAACTGCATGCCACAAATAGACCTTTGAGATGTTAACAGGTTATGGTTTTTGTTTTTCTGTGATTTACGTGAAGCTCTTATGAGCGCTTCGTGTCTTGAATCTACCTAAAAGCTGTTGGAGTGCTCAAAGTTTGCAGAGTCAGAAGCTTCTTCTGTTTCGTCTACCACAGTAAGTGGCTCAGTGTGAAATAATTCATAAAACACATCCACTCAAAAACCACAATGACATTTTGAGGCTAGAAATGTAAAACATTGAGGCGAGTGTTCTCAATCCAACCAGAAAAAGTTGTTTTCAAAGTCGCCCTTGTGGGGGTAAGACGCTTACTACACACAAAAACTAAAGAACTAATTCATTCATTTCCTTTAAGCACTGAGTCCCTGCACATTTTATATGCCACTCCCAGCTGTCATTGGGCCATGGGTGGGGTACACCATGGATAGGTCTACCACTGGGCCACTCAGAGAGACAGAAAATCATGCACACCCACACTCTGGGAACCACCACCATCTCTGCACATTTTCCATCCATCATACTGAATCGTTTTGTGTGAGTGAGCAACAACCATCTTGAAACATATTTTGGGACCAGAAAAAGGTGATGATAAATGCAGCTGATCTGCACATGGAAACAAATCAAATACATAGGAACTGTATGTTTTCAAGCTAGATCGTGACTATGAACAGTGCTAAAAAAAAAAGAACAGGAAAGGCACAACAGCCTTTCTTCAGCACTGCAGCTCTTTACTTTTTAATGTCACAGTGCTTTCAGGAATGTGCCTCAAACTAGGTTAGATCTGCACAACCAAGCTTTTTATTTAGACATACAAGTTAACAAGAAAAATCCAGAAAGCTCAAACTGAATTTGTTTAATCTGCAAAAATTTTAACCATCCAGTTTGCCGATTTATAAATATAAGCATAGAAGTATAAGAATTATTATGTTTCATGGAAAAATCAAAGAATAGTCCAGGGAATATTAAAATATTCGCCAGTGATGCTTCATTTGAGCTGTACCTGACTATTAGTCGTTTGGACAATGTATTTCTCCATTTACATGAGCAGAGGCAATAAATAGCTTAAAATGGTAAAACCATGTGGAAAACATTGAGAACAATACCCCTTTCAGATAGGTTTAGATAGGTACAACATATCTCTTGTGAAATGTGACACTAATGGCAACAATATTCATGACCAACAGCAGAGGCCACTGTTGGATAATTCTCTAATTTTCAAACAGCAGCAATCTGAATTCTTGTACTTGAAGCTTTGTGAATATTACTATTATATTGTAAATATGTTCTTATTATTACATTTTGTGTAGTGCAAGTATTTTCTGGTGCATTCACCCTCAGAAGAAAGACTTTCTCAATAGTTTTGTCATGCTGATTCAAGATGAGCTAAGTTTATTTATTGTAAGAAAAAAAAGTAACATATGTACTTATGGTCCTTTAGTTTTTGACATTTTATGCAAGTATCTTTGTTTCCCACACTCCTCAAGCTAGTTTGGGGTGTTAGGAACTCAGGAAAGCCCCCTTTTTGAACTTGTAGTGTGTGACCGCATGCGTGTACACACACACCAAATCGCCAAACACGCCCTCGCTGAAACAAACACAATCTGGCGCCTCTTTCCTGAGTGACGCTGCTGAAGCAGAATAACAATGACAGGCAGCAGGGTGGAGGTGGAGTTGTGTGTCAGTGTGAGTCCACGCAGACACAACGTTTTGGGAAGCTGATCGTTCGGGTGTAGGATGGAGGTCAGAGGGGGCCCAGAGGTGATCAACACTATGCGCAAACATCCCAGTACCCTGTCCGTGTGTCACGTTTTAAAACATTAAATGCTGATAATCTTTAGACGTTTACTTTTCCTCAACACATTATTCACAGAAAAAAAAAATTATATCATCCCATAGCGGTAGTTAACTTCCTTTTTCATATTTCTGTTTGTGCAAAATAAGTCCAAGGACTTGTAGCTCTCCACAGTGTTTAGTTAATGAGGGCTTTTTTTTTACACAGCAGTGTAGATTAGATGGACATCTGGGGTCAGGTCTACCCTCAGAGGCATGAGTCTAGTAGTGAGTTGAGAAAATCATACTCAACTAATTAAGAAAAGTATTGATTAATAAAACATTTTATCAGTTTCAGAGGCTCAATTGCCTCCCTCTAAACCACACTCCAGTTCCTTTAGAGCAAAAAAAACTATCCCTGACCCCCCACCCCCATACCTGCAAAAGTGAAACTAAACTTTAGCCCACTCAGCTGTCACCTCCATCCATCATACAGTTTAAATTGTGTGAAACTCATTTATCACTTTATATCTTGCAAAGCATGCTTAACCGATCTGTGGCAGACAGTTAGAGCAAGCTACTTCTCAACAAGCTTTTTTTCTTTGGTCCAACAGTACCAACTCTGTCCTGGCGGTGCACTTTTCATGCCTCCAGACCCTAGACCCCCCATTTCTGCCATCTGTCACCAAACTAAACACCTATATTTACAGTGTGTCTTATTTATTTGATTTCCCTGCATTCTGCATGGCCAAGCTATTCTCTCGATAGTGCCAGCGGAGATGGCTGTTTACAGCGAGGTGAAATAAGAGGACAAAGCAACAGGAAATTGGGCACTCATTCCATAAATATCCGTTAGACAAGCTCAACAGAAAGTACCAACCAACCACAGTGCTGTGTGTTTATTTCTGGCCCTGCAGTGTGTGTTTCCACTTCTTATTTTGTGCCGAACTGGTCGAGTTCAAATGGGCTTTCACACGGTTACATAAAGATGTGATTGGTTTAAGATATGCATGATTTACAGTACATATTGAAACTTTGGTTGTGTTTTGTTTTGTTTTTTTGCACATGAACAGACTCTTAAACAGGAAAACACACAACTCTTACTGATGATTCCCTCAACATCTCAAAGATGTCAGAACAACAACTCCTGACTTACCATCCTGGAGCCGCAAGTGTCGCAGGTACAGGGGGCTCTGAAGGACATTACACCTGCCCGGCTCATTCTCTCTTGTCACAAGCATCAGATCGTTGTAGACAAAAACTGTGACCTGAAAGAAATTGCAAACAAGAGATACACGGTTTGAATTGATAAAGGGCAAAAGACTGTGAGCGGGATGTAGGGCAAGGGCAGGTGGTGTACCATGGTCTCATTGTGGCTTTAGTACATCTGCCAATATCCATTACACCATTACATTATATATATTTATATATATAATTATCTAATAGTACTTTTGCAAGTTTAATATTAACATGTGAGAAAAGAAAATCCAGCAAGAGGACAATGAATGATGTGTTTTGGTGACATTATGCTAAATACACACACACAAGCAAGAGTTATCATTCTCGATGTGCAATGTTTCTAGACAATGCCTTTGCTCTGGTGGCTTCCTCTGAAGATTGAGATAACACAGAAGGTATTTCAGCTCAAGCCAGTGTGTGGTTAACTTGTTGTATAGTTGTGCGTGTGTGTGTGCGAGCGTGTGTTGGTGCGTTATTGTGTGTGTGTGTGTGTGTTTGTGTGTGCGTCTTTTAGCATGCAAGTTTGTAGGTTTGAGTGGGTGGATGAGAATGGTCGTAACAGAGCAAACTGTTTTCACACTTAGAAGTGCAGTGTAATGCATGTGCATGTACACGATTTGAGAAGTCCAGTTACTGCAGCTACTTTGGAAAAAACAGTTTCCAAAAACACAATCAACTTTGAGTCTTTGTCTGACCCTGAATCTCTCTGATTGCTTCTTTGTGAGTTTTTCAACACCAATTTTGCCCACATCCTAAATTAAAACTATCTTGATAAGTCATACAATCAGCTACTTGTGCAATTAAGACTGGCAAATGCATCAGTCAGCATGGAGAAATGAACACACCTTGTTCATGAAGTCACTTACCGTAAGTCCTGTTCATGGATGATAAGATTAAACCACATGACTTCACCAGAAGGACGCCTGCACTGTCCGTTATTGCTTTGTGAACATCAGGATAACAAAAACCCTATGATGACGCTAATTAATGAATTACAGCGTAGTTAGTTCAACATACAATAACGATAAAATCAAATAAACTTAGGCACTTAAATCACTTGTCTAATAACTTGTAGTAATAATACATTTCTTTAAATTTGCTTTGCTGTTCTTTATAAAAAAAATCAATAACCTAAATTTCTGTTCTACAGATTTTGATGATACTACCCCTCCATCAGATTTTGATACCAAAATGAAAGTAGGTGCTGAAAGACTCACACAGATGAAAGCTGGAATAACACATCGACCACTAAAAACAGTATGTTTAAAGCAGCACCGTGGAGAGAAACTCCCTCATGAGAAACACTGATAGCTAAATATTTATTTTAGTCCACAGCTGCTGCATTTTACCTCATAACAAAGATATTTAGCAAAGAGTGGAAAAAAAAACTACAGGACAAAAAAAAAAAAAGTTTCCATGTCGCAAGGGACTTTCACGTGATAGGCAGACTTATACATATATAAGTGTGTGTGTGTGTGTGTTTGTTTGCGAATAAAGCACAATTTCTCTTACTCAGATCTTTGGCCCTCTCCAGCCTCATCACCCTCATCCATTATTAATTCTGGTGGACTCCTGATAGCTCAGAGTAGCTACAAATTCACAGAGGACATTCTGACATCACCCGCACTGGCTCCCTCCTGAGATGTTGCTTTACTTCGATCTTAATCTTTTTCTTTCTACGGATGCATAATTTCTAAACACACAAACAATCTGACTCACAATCATAGCAGGTGGAGTGTCTCTTGTAGTTTAGTTTAAATAAACACACTGCAAGTTGTGACAAGCAAACAAAATGTTTGCCTCTGCTCTGTCCGCTGCAGTCTGCAGAGGCTGCAGAGGAGAGAGGAGAAATGGTAGAAATGGTAGTGCTCTTTTCAAACCTTTATCGGGATTTGAAAAGAGCACTAACATTTCTACCTTTTGGTGAACATAGCATGATTACCGGTAGGTCTTTGCATCCAAATTTGATTGAGACAAGAAGTAATACAATGTGAATTAAAAATGTAAAATGTTTGAATTTTACAATTGGAACAAAATAATTCACCAAGTCTCCAGCTTTTCTGTAATTTCTGTCATTATCCTTCAGTTACTGAATTTAAACTAATCTACTGGTTGTTAACAAAGAAAATCCCCCTCAACATGTTGCTGCCATCACTGTGCTTTTCTGAGGTGCTGGAATGTGCCACTCCATGGTTTTCTTGATGATCAAAAAGTTTAGTCTTCACCATTCTGTCTCTGTTATCCTTTTTTTAATGCACTTTATATTTGTTGTGCTTCATGTGTTTTTCTTAAGCTTAATGGAAATTTTATCAAGTGGAGTGAATACCTTGAAGACATCATATGCGAACACTCCAAGCCTTGAGGGCTACCTCTGGCCTCTTTGTTAGCTCTGTGATTACCGTTCTTACTGTAGGTCCATTATATAAAAGAAAAACACATCCATTTAAATCAAAAGGTCAAAATGCAGGAAAACACCAGGAAAAAACAGGTGTATAGCTTTTCAAGGCACAGTATAAAAACAAGACCTTTGTTTGAACATCCATCCATCCATCCATTTTCTGAACCGCTTATTCCCAAATGGGGTCACGGGGGGACTGGAGCCTATCCCAGCAGTCAATGGGTGAGAGGCAGGGTACACCCCAAAATATCTTTTAAAGTTGGATCTTTCTCTCAACACAAAGATTATTGACAACTATTTCATTTTCAAAACTCTTTTAAATAAATTTTAAACTCACTATACATGCATATATTACTGTACATGCACTGTACACGCATAGTCACTGTTCACACTCACTGTAAATGCATCAAACGTTGGAGAGAATGCGCCCCCCTTTTAAGTTCTTGTTTGAATGCAATGTTGCTGCTCACCTTGAGAGAGTGGTGCTGGCTCTCATGCAGTATCATCTCCTCAGATATGATGAGTGTTCGGCTGCACAGGTCAAGAGGCTGGATACGGAGAAACAACACAGTCAGATTACAATATAATTACTTTAAATGTTACCTGTTCATTCATAGCTAGTATCTTTGAACTATATTTTACTTGTGATAGCACTCAGCAGCATGAGCAATATCACTAATACCACTCATTTTAAGATGAAAGAAAAAAAGAAAGGGACAGTACCAAATCCATCTTTAAAATCCAAACAATCTACTTAACAGCAAAAAGCAGCTCCAACTTTACTCAGGGTAAGACAACTGAAAGTGACTCTACACTACTTGAGACTAAATGCGTGGTCGAGTATGACAAGACACTCACACATAAAAAGAACTAATGCCACAACACGGCAGGAGGGGGACTTCCTTTCAAGATCAGGATGTGACGAAAGGTCAATTCGATGTGTGTGTATGCAACATTCAAATCCTGTGAAGTAGGGGTAGGGTTGCAGTTTTTCTATATGATTTGCTGCGAGTTGATAGGAAGCACAACCACACTTTGTGGCTTCAAAGTGGCAAAGAGTCACCGAGCAGAAGACAAAAGTGATGTAGTACCATTGCATCGCTTGTTGTCTAATAATTCCTACATAAGTTACTGTTACTTTACATGTTTTACAGAATGTGTAAATGTGCGAGTTTTTATTTAGTAGTAACGCGTGACTCATTCTAAATTTGTAATGCTCTCTAAATTGTAACAACACAATTCTGTACAGGAAGCAGAGTGGTGACAAATCTTCTTTCTGTTCACTGGAACATGAAAAGATGGAAGATTTTCAGTATTTTTTAACATAAACAATCTGGTTCAGAAGCCTAGAAGAGAAAATTCCACAACAAAACTCTTCATATTTAAAATTTGTGTTGTGTCAAATTGCGATGTTGCAAGTCACAACTTGAAAGGTGAGAGAAGAGAAACGGAAACATATTTCTTAACAGCAAACTCCAAAGAGCCTCAGTTCTTCTTAGATAACTTTCATTTAGAAGTGTGTTCAATTCCTCACCTGACTGGGATTGCACTTTGGACACCGCTGACCAAAGCACACTGATAATCCCCACAATGATCCACAGTGGTTGTTCTGACAACTTTAAGGTGTCCAAATGCACAACAGCCTGTCCCACAGGACAGTTCTGACAACCAGCACATTGGAAAACACATCTCCACTGTGGGATCATATATCTTTATGTAATATAATTTATATAACCATTATATAATATGCTGCTAATTTAAAAAAATCCTGTCAGGATAAGAAGCGCAGTGAAACACAATCCCAACTATGAAGCTCACTGTCTCTGACCTACCTGAACAAAGATGGGGAAGATGAGGACCTTGGGTGCCACTTTGACGTATCCATAGTTGGCATGCGGCGTGTGGGAGCGGACGATGGTGCAGTTCTGGTAGTTGGCAAAATTAGCACTTTGTGGTTGGTAACTGCTGGCACCAGCGTTAGGAGAAGTGGACGATCCCTTTGACGTTTTGGAGTTGTTCGATCGGCGGAGGAAGCCGGTACGGCTGGAGAAGCCACCGCCACTGCTGCCACCACCACCGCCACCAACACCCCCAGAAAAAGCTCCACCACTACCAGCGTTCTGGGGCTGGGGAGCAGAGGTCTGTCGTGTTGGATATAACCTGCTGAAACCTGCAGCTGTAAAACAATGAAGGACAAAATATGACAGTTTTTGGGAGGAAAGAAATTATGACAAAGCATAAAAATGTAGCCAATAAGCAGTAAGCGTAGCTTTGGACAGGGACTGCTGCCAGATATATTGGGATATAAGTATCACAATACCAGACTGAGATTATAATGGACTGCACAACATGACACGTTGATAGTCTTCAGAAAAAGATTGATTTTACAGCACACTGAAATCCTTTTATTTCAACAATCTTTTTCCTTATATTTTGCATTAGGCAACCCCATGTTCTATGAATTAATAATAATAATAATACATTAAATAGGAAGCAGAAAACTGAAAGTAACATTGAATTTTCTCTAAGCTCATTTAAAACCAAAGCCAACACTGGTGTGTGAAGATATGAAGAAATCGCTTTGCACACGTCTTACCTAATGTTCCCTGATTGTCCTGATAAACAGGCCTCAGGATCTGAAATCAGAGTGGTATGACAGGACACTGAGTTGACATGTTTCAGCAAAAATGAAAACAAACTATTTGTGAAGAGCAAAGCCAAAAGTAATTTTTTCTATATGACACACAGGTCATTCCAATAACACTACACATGAAAAAATGACTTAAATGGACTTTCTATGATCGTGTGAATGATACAAAAAATATCTAGGAGCTAATCAACTGCAACAAGCAAGACACCTTCACTTCAACAAAAGTGGATAATTGGAGGATAACACTTGGTTTGATGCTCGGTACTAATGTCTACCATTACACAGCCTCTTCCATGAAATGCACTCCTAGGTTTACTATATCTGAATTTCACACCAGAGTTGGATTCTCCCTGTCATGACTCAAAAGAGGGAGCAAACATAAAATGCTGCCATCAAATTGTGCTCATTAATTTTGTGAGTGGACTGAGACGATGCCTCAAAATATATCTTCATTGCTGCTTTTTTTTCCTACCAGCTTATGAGGATACAAATTTTCTGCCTGGTGTTTTTTTTGTTTCTGTCGGTGTTGTGTCGGTGTGAGACACCACAAACATGACCTATTTCTGCTGGGCTTTATTATATTTAGCGCTGCCATAACAAAATCTCCCCAAATTCCTTGGTCTTTTTAGTTGGAGATAGAAGATAATTGAATGGGAAGTTTTGTTCCCCATGGCGTGCATCGCTTTTTCTCTTGAGGCTATACAGTGTTTCTTTAAATACGGAGTCAGAGTCACCTAACATCAAACAGATCTTATGCTTCCAACTGCTCCAAACACATCTTTTTCTGGGGACTTTGTCCTTTAAATGAACCTAAAGCAGAAAAGCACACAGATGAAGGTGCTGCATGAGCAAGAGGCATGCATGACACACAAACACACACACACACACAAGTCACAGACGGACTCATGAGCAAAGGCATGAGTAGGTTAGAAAGCTTAACCCTTTAATGCCCTAGCTGAGAAAAGCGGAGGAACAATATTAGCTTTTCTTTGTTTCTTTGAGGAACGATTAATAAGAACTAGCGATTTCTTTGAGAAAATCTGTTGAGAAAACAAATGATAGCAAAAGACATTAAAGGCTTAATTCCACTATCAACCACCCATCTGACATCAAGCGGCTTTGGTTAGATGGAGCTCTTTCATATGTGCTGAACTGCTGCTAATACACAGCTGCAGGGTCTTAAAACAAATCCTTTATCATTTGGTTCAACATCTTTGCTACCCTGTGTCAGTTCACAGGTTAGTAATGTGTTATTACAGGATTGTTAGCTTAGGAATTCAGATCAGTCTTTTTGATTTAAAGACCTTTATTTTATTTTTATCATTAATCTTTTTTATTCAAATACAAGGCAAATATAGGTATGTGCTGTATAAAATGCAACATACATGCTGCACATGTACATGCATGTTATACCAGAAATACAATATGTGCATAGGACCATTGCTGGAGTGTGTGGTGTTCTATAATGAATTCAGTTTCTTTATCAAATGACAAAACCACTTTTTTAAGTAGTTATATATCATTCCTGACACAGGTAATGTATCTATATCAATGTGAACAATGCCGTACATTAGCTTTGTTTCCTGTTAGGAACTGTGTTTTGTCGGTAGAACGCAATGAAATAAGTACTGCCAAAGCGTCACATATAAACAAAAAAAGTATATAATGTATATCAGAGGCTACATCTTATATTATCTTATATTCAGTGGTGCCCAGACTTATTCTCCAAATCTACAAAACAAATGAACCATATTTGCTAAATGTGATGTGTTGAAAACATGCACAAATCATGAGACGGCAGTAAGGAAAATGGCACGGACACGCTAAACATACAGTCCATCTATCTATCAGCACCAGGAATGAAAGGTAAGGAAACATATCTAGGATGAGCCACCATATGACCGTGGTGAGGGTGAGGAGGACGGAGAAGATGATGAAGATGCAGCCCTCCACCAGTCTGTGGTACCTGGCTTCCAGGGTTGATAGGCGCCAGGATGATGTAGTTGTCCCCGTTGGATGCCTTCACCCTGGTTCCCTTCAGTGTCGCAGACGGAGGGTGATGAAGGAGACGTGTTTTCCCATCCAGCTCCTCAGCTGAGCCTCCCTGTGCCCCCCATGCCAGCGTGCCCCTGCCGAGGCCAACACTGCTGCCAGCATCAGACCCGTTAACCAGGAGTCGGCGGGCTGCGGTGGCGCGGTGGTGGGCTGGCAGAGGCGGCACGGCCGGGGGAACTTTGCTTGTGCCAACATCAGGTGCACGCCTGCGGGTAGGGGGTGAAGGGGCTTCGTAGTTTGAGGTGGGGGGTTTGTAGGAGGGCCGATGGATGAGGCCCTCAAAGGAAGGTTTAGCTGAGGGGCCAGTACGCCACACCACCACTGTGATTTCATTGGCACTGTTTCTACAGGAAAACAGAAACAATTACAGTCCAAGGAAAATAAAGTGAGAACATTTTCTTCAGAAGATTAGATTAGAATTAGCTAAACAAACTTTACTCATCTGTAACTATTGCTTAATTAACAATGTGTATGTTTTAACTTTATGACTGATGTAAACCAACGGACAAAAAAAGCACTTTGCAGTAGATCTGTAAAAAAAAAAACAAGTTGAAGTGCTTTGAAGTAAAGTGTAATAACACCTCTGGCCACTGGAGGCTGATTGTGGAACCCAACCCAGAGGTATTTTTGGTTGGAAAGAAAGAGTTAACTTACAATTGACTTTCCATCCACTTCAGCTGGTATTTATAGCGACTCAATTGTGATGGTTTAACCACTAAGACTGAAGACTGCTTTGATAAGTTATGATTATCCCTCATAAATGTTGAACGCGCACATGAAATGGTTGTAAATTAAGGGTAGAAAGTACACAAATATTCTCCAGTTTGTTGGAATCCCTACCTTATCGCATGGGCCAAGTCCACACATTTCCACTGCTCCACAGGCTGACCATTTAACTGCAAGAGAGTGTCCAGCTGCTGCAGACCAGCTTGATCGGCTGGACCCCCTGGCAGAGACAGGCATTCCAAATCATTACACCCTCTCAAACGACATTGGTGATATTTAACTTTGAGCTGCAGAATAGCATGTTCATGCATGTGCAAACATTACACTGAAATGGAGTAATGATAAATAAATGGTCCGTCAATCTGTCATCTTCCCATAAAGTTATCAGTGACTGGTCAAAAAGTAAGGTGGAAAAAATAAAGTAAAATACTATACCTACATTTGATCCAAATTATACCTTAAGAAAGAATGTGTTTTACTTTACTTTTTGGCTTTCTGAAGAATAGTTCGGTTTATTTCAGTTTACAATTTCAGCCACTAGAAGTCACTAAATGCAGCAAACTTTTTTCTTTTTTGTGTCGCAGTAGTTAGAACCAGCCATTCCTGGCGACCAAGCACTGCTGAGTTTTATGTGCACTGACATGTACATGCAAAACTTGCCTGGATCAACAGCTTGTACCCTCACAGGGGAATCAGAGCAGATGGTGAATCCATATCCATCCTTTCCTCGAAGGATGGTCACCTGAACAACACACACACAAACACACGGATGAAATCCTTTTGTGATACAAAGATAGGAACTCATCCCCTCCCCCCGTCCACTACCTGAGGAACCAAAAGTAGCATGCTGGCAAAATCATCAACTTCCTTCCTACAGACTATAAAGTAGATTTGTATTCTGCCACTGCTTCCTATCAAAAGTGTCTTGACAGCAGTTCCAAGTGAACCCAATTAGCTGACTTTGTGGGAAAAACAGCACCGGACATAGAACAAGAAAAGAAAGTTATTTTGTGTCTGTGGAGACACAAAATAACTTAAAACAATGACACTGTGGAGAAATGATGGAAAATAAATCTGCCAAGTAAGACTGTTTGTTAATAATGAATACATTGGTGTTTTTAGACAATTTACTATCAGCATGTCAGTACCACAGACAAAGTCAGCACCAAGAGGAAGTCACAGAAAAATGCATTTAAAAAACAAGCATAAAGCTCCGTCTGGCACAGATACAAAAAGACACATATTAAACTCCAATGAAGTGTCTGGATGCGTATGTTTGTGTGTTTGACCTTCTAGAGCAGCCAGTAAAGAATAAATCTTGATCATCTTTTTTTTCAGGCAACTCCTGCTGAGGTTAAGATTCTACTTTCTAAACCAAAGCTTTTATCATGCAGAGCAACGAGCTATGGAATCATGAATCATCAAGCAGGAGTTAAAATCATTTCAGACAAAGACGTATTTGATTGTAAAGGTTGCTACAGATTGTCCACTCACTGTCCAGTACAATAATTCAAGTATAGTGTACTCTATATTTCAAGGGGTTTGATCCAGTTTCCTACACTTAAACTGCACTGATATTAGCCAGTACAATCATAGAACGTATTCCAAAAAAAGATTCAAACTGATTCAGATTTAACAAACCACATGACTATAAGAGGAAAGCATGCATTGCTTAAATTTATCATGTCCACACACACATTTACACACAGAGAAAAAGTGCTGATGCCCGTTTCCCACTGCATTTTCTTTCTCTAGCTTTGCCAAACTTTCAGTACCTGCACATAAAAATCTGAGCCAAAGTCAACACACCACCATCAAAAACATCTCATTTCTTTCCATCTCATCTGCGGACAGGGACAAAGCACACACAAAGTCCCGATCGCTCTGTGTTTGTGTCTACGGAGGAACAAAGCTACTTGTGGAAGCAGCAAATTACAAACTGTGAGAGGCCCGAAGCTGGTGATGACCCTAAAATGTCGGGTACAATCGTTGTTTATCATAGCCCGCTGATTTTAATAGCCCCGTGTCACAGTTCTTCTGCTACTTTCTGACACAGTCTCTTTAGTTTTTCTATGTTAACTGTATATTTTCAGTCTTCCAGACCCTTAAAATACAACCAGGAGAATTATCTGCAACAAACAATCTCCTTGGTTGTGAGGTTCAATCATTGTTGGGGTCTCCCTCAGAAGCACTGCAGATCATCCAAACTAAAATACCAATTTCTCACCATCTCAGTGACTGTGGTATAAAAATCTTGAGTGTTCATTTTACAAAGAAAGCTGAAGAAAATAGTTCAATATATGACAACCACGAAATTGACTTTGAAGTGGGGAGAGATAAAAAAACTGATAAACAAGGATAAAACAGATTAAAGGTTAGGAAAATGGGGCAGGGAAGCTTCAAAAATTCCCAGAGACAGAGCAGATGACAAAATCAAATAGGGGAACAGATGGTATGGAACAAACATTCCAGCGGAATTAAGCTTGACAAACAACAAACTGTCATGAACATTTTTGAAAAAGCATCTTGATCTTGATCTGAAAACTAGAAACAAAACACTGAGAATGAACACAAGTGAAAGACAGACTGTGTCACAACTGTCTGCCTCCATTTGCACCTCTTTGTCATTTTATCAAAAGCTTCTGACTCTTGTCCTTTCAAAAAGAAGTCAGACAAATATATTGTTTGGTCATACTAATGTAGAATCCAAAAACTTCTTGGTCCAAGCACTTGATGGCCTCTGGTCTGCCAGCAATCAAAAGCCCCAGACCCTGATTTAGTAGATTAGCATGAAGGTAATCTTAAGAAAATTTGCAGCACGTCAATCATAAGACAAATTACTAAATGAGAAATCCACAGGGAAGTTTTAAGCTTGCATTAAATATTCAAATTGTATGAGAAGGCTTTTATGATGAATTAATAATTCAATCAAAGATAGAACTAGACGGACTAATAGATGAGAGAAGACTTCAACCCTCCTGAAACTCATGAGGGTACAGCGTTTGTTTATGCAAATGTGACAGTGCCTTTCCCTCTTCTTGATTAAGAACTCCATCATAATTCGGGGCAATGCTGTTCTAAGGCAGTAGAAGGTATCCTGTGTGTCCCCACCCGATGAGTAAAGAACATTTCTTCACTAGTTTCCATAGGTTAGAGGAAAGTCAAATCAGCAGCCGACAGTTGAGCGGAATGTTTCAACCAAAGCCACAATATCCATTTGTAAATGCAAATCTGGGTCAGAATGATCTGTGACTCAGATGGCAAACACACACAAATACACTCCACCAATGTGGCACGGCATATTTATCTTTATATATTTAAATATAGATATATATATATATATACACACACACATATATATAGGTTTTAGGAGGTTTTCAGTACAATTTAAATGTCCATAAAGCAGCTTAAGTAATAAATGTGACACATTTTATCCACTTTTTGACTTTTCCCCCATCTTCTTTGACAATGCCTATATTGAATAATTCAAAGGTAGGGCTGGTTCACCCTTTCAAACCACACATTCCTCGTGTCGCCTGCATTCATCTGCTGAAAGTTATTCTTTCCCAAGAGGGCTGGACGGGCAGTAAAAAGCACATTTTCCTCCGTTCGGTGATAAAAGGACGCTCTGGTGTATCAAGTGGTGTGATACTTTTATACAATCCCCCCACTGCTCCCTTGCTTCCATTTGCTCACTTTACACTTTAACGCAGACACACCTGAGGCAGCCTACATCCGATGCAGAGGTGGCACAAACCATGGATGGTGTGCATCACGCCACCACTGCCCACTCTTCCGTCGCCCACTCCAGCATTCAAGTCCGCGGCCAACACACAAACGCTCCGACGGTGACTTTCCACCTGGCTGCTTCCTCTGCAGCCTGAGTATCGCCACAGCTTTCTTTGTGCAGCTGAGAGAGTTCTCCTGGGACTGTGCTCTGACAGCTGAGTGGATTTCAGTGTGTTGTGGATCATTTCAACTGTGAGAACCGTCCCCCCCAAAAAACAGCAAAGTGGATGAGGTGATTTAGTTCCAGAGTTGTCAGGGTGCTGGTCCAATCGAAGCACTTCGAGGGCACCTTGCTGGTAAACTGCTGAGTGGAACAAAAAGGGTCCTTGAAGATCTCTGCAAAGATAAACTTGACTTTGCTCTAGATTCGCTTTCCCCTCAAAGATTGCCAGTTTAACCCTCTTCAAATCACTTTGCCACTGATCTTCAGCACAAACTTTTTCCATTCAAAGTCTGCTGGTGTTGACACCAGTCAGCAACGCACTTTCAAGGGTCTTAGTCATTTCATCCAATTACTGTTCAGAAACTTCGGTCAAATCCACTGTCTTTGGCCCGTAATGTCACCATTCCTGTCCTCTCTTCTTGCGTGTGTCCTGTCCTGTAGCACACTGTCCCGGTCCCCTCTGTGTCCTGAACAACAGGAGCTGCGGTAGCGCCTGGGATCAGCTGTGGGAGTGTGCGGTGGCGTCATCCAGACGAGACTGGTGCTGGCTCGGCCTGCTCAGGCCACACTGCAGGTCCTGGCAGGGGCGCTCATGGGAACTCTTCAACAGCAGAAGAATGGGAGGAAGTGCCTCCCACCGCCGCCACCCCCCGATCACACACATACACACACATGCACTTATGCATACCTCGCCATCCTACAGCAAGCACAGCTTTGTGTGGCTGTCCCCGATAAGGCCAGTTTGCTTCCTGACTCCACACTATGAGGCTGGAAGAGGTGCTACAGCTCTCTGTAGTGTCTAACATAGGTGGTGTGAGTGAAAAACGTAGAAAAAGGTGTCGATGCCGGGAAGTTTTCGGGATATGTCCAAATCAAGACCCCAACGCTTTTTAACTGATTTCAAACAGCACCTGGATCAAACAGATTTTAATGAGCAGTTTTCCTAACAAAAGATAATGGCCACTGCTGCCCTATAACACACTTTCACACACATACATGTACACAGTACCTCAGTCAAACTTCACACCTCATCAGATCCTTTTCCACAGCAGTTCCCACACTGCCTACTCTCTGTCCAGACATTATGGTTGTTTGTTATGTTTTCAGTGTCCATATTTCCTCTGCTTTTCCTTTCAGCTGCTCGCTCTCACCTCAAACCGCTCAGGACGGAAATTTCACATGTCTGCAAACTCTTAACAACCCCCCTCCTCTTGCCCTTATCCAAACAGTACTATTGTTACTGTTTTTTAGATCCATATGTCTGGGACAGAGGTGGGAATCTGCAAAAAACACAACAACAAACACCTCAGTAGCGGAGCGGGAAAACCCCTTTTCAATTACCAATTAAACAGAACCCTGCCTAACCTCAGCAGGCCCATTAATTCCCGGCGTGCCTCTTTTTCTTTTAATCGTCTGGATGTCTGGCTCAGGGAATGAAACATTGACAGAGAAGTGACAGAGGAGCAATGGTGCACTAGTCTCTATGATGTTAATAAAGTAGCAGAAAACACCATTGTCTTAAGATCTCTTTATGCCAGTGGTAATGACAGCTTTTCCCTGTTTGCCTTTTTCAAAAGGGCGAGGGTTACACATCAAGCACACAAAACCACTTTCTCTCGCTTTCACGCTGCGCCGTTCACCTCTAAATGGGCAGAAGGACGGATTAGAGGGAGAGAAGAAAAGGAGAGAAGAAAGCGTGTCTTAGGGAGAGGAGTGAAAGAGGAGTTTTGAAAGACTTGTCTTGGAGCCAGATGAGGCCAATCTGTTTTTTTAGCAGTGTGGGATCTTTCTCTCACTTTGTGTCTCCCTGTCTGCCTCTTTCTGACCTGAATAAACAACTATCAAAGGAGGAG